AGCCAAGCATCTTGAGACAGAAAATCTGTGTGGACAGGAACATCCAAATATTTCTTTGTCAAAAAATGGCCAGTTAACCAGGTCTTCATCTTCCATATTGTTAGTGTAGAGCAGCAACTATAATTTCACCAGAAGCTGATCAAACCAAATGGATACATCAGGAGTAACAGAATGTATTGCAGTGAATCATCCTTCATAGTAGCCAAGCATCTTGAGACAGAAAATCTGTGTGGACAGGAACATCCAAATATTTCTTTGTCAAAAAATGGCCAGTTAACCAGGTCTTCATCTTCCATATTGTTAGTGTAGAGCAGCAACTATAATTTCACCAGAAGCTGATCAAACCAAATGGATACATCAGGAGTAACAGAATGTATTGCAGTGAATCATCCTTCATAGTTATAAGGTTGGCAATAGGTGATGATATGTTTGAGGGTATGTTGTGAAGAGTCACAACTGCACACTGGGGAGTCTTTGATTTTTCTATTTACACATTAGATGTCCCTATTTACCATGCTTGATTTGGATTAGGATCAGAGTTGATCAAGATGACCATGGAAGACTGAACCCAAGAACCTTCTGCACAGGATCTTGCACAAGGCGCTATTTTAAGTCTTGTTTAGCCTAATCTGCATTCTATTCTCTTTCTGATCATAGCTTGATTGCATGAGGCTAAGTGAATGTTCCTAGAAAGACTTGTGGAACTTAAAATGTTGGAGGGAGAGCTTTTGTGAATAGGAAGACATCTGTTTTCCTGGAACTGTGGAGCTTTGTGGACTGTAACAGCAGTTTCTCATGTATGTGGGGGGAGCAATATTAGACAAAACAGGTATCCAGAGTGCTGGAGCCAAATTACAGGTTCCAAAACCTGGTAATGGCCCATTTAATTTTGTTGTCACCTGTTTGAAGCATTGGCCAGCCCTATGTCTCCAAAGATCTCATTTGTGGCTGTTACCCAAACTTGGAACACGGATTATGAATACCATACAGTAGCACCTTATAACTATATGCACAATCTTGGTGTACACATTTTACTATAGTAATAATGATCAGCAAATTATGAGTTTTCAAACAATATCTCTCAAGTCAAGAATTATCATAGTTGGTACAAAGGGGTGAATATAGTGGCACAGACTGTCACACTAGTCCAGTGGTCCCCAACCATTTGGGGTTGCCGGGCACCAGGGGGCGTGGCCGTTCGCCCGCCGGGCGCCCGGGGGGAGGGACACTTGCGCACCCGGAGGCGGGGACCCCCATAGCCGCGTGCCTTGGGGCAGGGCCCCCACCAGCCACGTGCCCT